TACGTTACTAAAAATGTGATGATGTCTCTTTTGTCTCATATTACTATTAGGTGACAATATACTACGTCGCTAACAATGTGACAATTTTTGTTCGTCGCATATATAATAAAATTATTGTGTCATTGATGACGATATGACTTGTCAATGATGAAAATGTACATCATTTGGTGACAAAATTAATTGTCGCAGAATACAAATTAAAAGGTGATGTTATCCATTATCATCACTATATGTTTAACAACACATGACGGAAATAAATATAGTGTCACTTTTGACATTTAGTGACACGCCTAGGATGACGATTGTCGTGACATTAACTTTTACGTGAAAAAATGCAATTAGTGATGAAAATGTAAGTTTTAGTGGCAATAACCTAGATGACACTAATAAAAAAATTTGTTTTAGTGTTTACACTTAATTGATTATGCCTTGCTTGATTGATATTGAATTTCAACATTTACTTGCTTTAGTTTGCTTATAAATCTTGGAAATTCTATGAAATAGAAATTGGGAACTTGAGGTTTTTACCATGATAATTGAGAAATGCTTGAGGACAAGCATCAAATAAGTGAGGGGGAATTTGATTAGTGCTTAAATTATGCTTTATTTTGTGATTAGTTACTCCTTGATTAGCTATTTTAAGCTGCTAACTTGATTATTTTCGTTCATTTTCAATGTAGGAGAGTAGATTCCAGAAATGTTACAAAAACTGATGAAATGTGCAATTTTTTATTTTTTGGAATCATGACTGAATTAATGGGCATGACTTCGTTGATATGGCGTCCAGTCAGTAGCTTCTAGAAGGTCCAGTCAGCAGATTACTTGGAACAAGAGACTCATCCGCATTTTTCAAATTTAAATTAGGATTTATTTTTAATTTTAGGAATTATCTTTCATAATTATTTTTTAGTTTGCATGTATTCTTTTAGGGTTTTTTAGGACTATAAATACCCCATTGGGGTAAGCTTCAATTCATCATTGGCATCATTGAGATCATTCACCCTTGAATTCTCTTGTTTCTTTCTTTAGTTTTATAAAGTTTTACTTTTTATTTTATTTTTCTTTAAAAGTTTTATTTTTTAAAAATGCTAAGTATGATTTCTATCATACTTAGCTAAGTTTTCCATAAGCCAAAGGCTAAAGCGATGACTCGATTCTGAATTTTGAGAATCGAAAAGCACCTCATACCCTTTCGGGTTAAATTCTCAATTTTCTGGAAAATAGATTGGCGGATAGTCTTTCTTAAAATCAAAACGCTTTCACTTCAAAAATAGATTTTGGCTTGGATGACGTTATGGTTTACCGTTGGGATTATAGAATCAATTAATTTGAATTCCCTTGAACACATTTAACGAATGGTACGCTAAGGGAAATTGGGATCGAGTTTGACTTTTATAGAGAAACCATAATTCGAGTCGGGTTTTTCCAGGCGCTTTTAAACCTTTTTAAGTTAAAAACTATAGTCGAAGTTAATCCGAGAAGGATTGTGATTCCTAAAATAGATTTGGGAAAGTCAATCACCAAAGAGGAAAATGACCTACAAGGATTGAACCTTGCAGACTCAAACCGACATTTAATTGGAGGAAAAATCTTATTCAATGATCGATTGGAATTTGAGGCATGCAAAAGCCTGAAGCTAATTTCATTATATTGGTTTTTAATTTTACTTTCTTTGATTCTTTATCTTCCTTTGAATCGTTATTTGCTTATTCAATTTCTCAACAAACCCCCTTTTTACTTTACTTGCATTTTTTCACCTAGATCAGATATTAAGAACAATAGTTTCAACATTTTCTTTAGTCCATGTTGATCGACCCTTACTCTCTCTATACTATTATATTTATTTTTAATGAGATTAAGGATAAATTTATTTAACAGTGAAAATGACGCGTTGTCAGTACGTAACTGCACGAGGGTTCTTAAGTGTTGTATAAATAGCATGAAGTGTAAGCTGAAAAAAATAAGTTAATAAAATCTCTTCCCTTCTTTTGTGATATTCTAATACTGTGAGGTACTAATCATTTTTCACATGTAATTGACTCCCGAACTCGATTTTTGATTTTCGCATACCAAAACTTGATATTTTTTATAAAATAAAATGTTTTATTAAAATTACATTATTTTAAGTGTTCTAGTCGCACCTTAAAAATGATTGGTTGGAAGATTATCTTGTAAGAGGATAGAGATTAAAATGATAATCATCGAGTCATAGTGTAAAGTAGAAAACGAAAGGGTAATACAGCAACATCCCAACATTTTAATATCTTGTTATGGGAGAGTTGGAGTTGGTGGTAGTCGCGTGGATAGCACACTCTTTTTTTTAACATTATCTCATTCTAACTCCATTCCCCCACCACAACAAAAGTGCACTCCAATTCACCAATCCATTCATTTGACAGCCTTATTGCCCCCTTACGTTATAATAGTAGCTCTCTTAGTTCATGTTGTAGTCCTTAAAGATGGCATGCAGCGCTTCCTGAATCTGAACATCTACAACCCTAAATGAATAATATAAGTATATTGAGTGTAAACACTTGAACCCATTGTATTGAACTCAGTAGTAAGAGAGAACATTACATTGTTCTTTCTAGATGATTTAGATTCGAAAAGTTACGTCTTCAAGATGTATGTACCTAATGGATACACTAAAAAAAGTTCTGAACGATACATGACAACAAGACACATAACAACGTCGTATAACCCAAGAAAAGTGATAGATTTGAAGCACTTAGTACTTTTTGTCTTGTCAAGTAGATGATATTTCATGCAGACATAGACTGTAAAAATTTTCAACTTTTTCGTACTGCAATGCTTTCAGTTGATGTTCTTATATATATATATATATATATATATATATATATATGAGATAAATCCAATTTCAACTTTTTATTCTAATTAGAACATTATACGTCTCCCTACTACTTTGACTTTTGCAGCAAAGTGGAGAACCGATCACTACTAATTTTACCAAAGATACTAACAATTCGGTTGCCCATACAATATTCGAAGAGTCGAGTTCAATCCCATTGAAGAAGTGATTTACAGATCGGCAAAACTTCCCTTAATTTGTTTGGTCAAAAATCAGATTGATTAGGGTTTCCTTTAAAGATTTCCCAATACCTGCATGGAGACAGTAGTAATGGGGGGAGCAGCAATTGAATAGTGTAGCTGCACTACATATGTTATGGATACCAAATTATTACGCTCCCCGCCAATGATCTTTCTTGTATCCCGCTAAATATCCTGTGCGCATATTATTTTCTCCTCTAACACTTTGGAACCTCTAGCCCCTTAGTATTCTAGACATAGAAAGAACACCTCCATAATAAAGATCTCGAATGTTCAATATCTCTAAAGAAGTCGCGACTAGTTAACATGATGATTGACAGTTCCACGTGATCTTTTAGAATCAAAATTAATTGACATCATTTAGGCCTAGTTGTCCTCTTAATCTATGAATAGCTATTATAATCATACCTTTGAAGCTAACTCTAAAAATCAATTTATAAAACTTTCTAAGACAAGAGAGAGGACTCTCTCGGACTGGGATCTTCTTCACCAATCTTCTCCCTTCCTTTACAACATTGAAAAAATCATGTAATCTTAATTACCTATAATATTGTTGTCGATAATCAGTCAATTATCGATCAGTCACCAACTATGATTCTTCATCTAAATAAAAAGAAAAATAAACAGCCACCGTATGATATAACCATATTTATTCTATCAATAATCTTCCATACAAGAACTTTCTTCATCTCTACAATTTTTAATTTTCAATTTACAGATATTTTAATATATAGGTTACTTACCTTATGCTACTTTTTCATTTTGGATAAGCATCATGAGTGCTTTATACCCCACATTTACCTCTACACAGTGAACTTCTCCCTTAATAAATAGCCTTGTAGAGGGGCGTGAGTCCTCCACACTTCCATTTTTCCTCCTATAATCTCCTTCATTTCTAGCAATCTAATTTCCATTCCGTTCTCATGGAGACCACCAACGGAGCATCATCTTTCAACAACCAGAAGTTGACAATCCCAGCAGTGAATGATGTTGAGCGACAAACAGACATGGAACCTGAAGCAAACGATGATTTTGACTACTCAAAACGATCTCAATGGCTTCGGGCAGCGGTGCTAGGCGCCAACGATGGACTCGTCTCCACTGCATCACTGATGATGGGTGTTGGTGCAGTGAAACAAGACTGGCTTAACCAAGTTGATAGGATCCAGTGGCCTCTGAACTTTGTTTCTTTCTATTTTTTTTTCAGCTTACCTTTTGGTTTTGTGTGCCATGCAACTGCAACTATGTTTTAACCATGTTCTTGGAAAACACACAAGTTGGCAATAATTTAGAGGAAAAAACTTTTTATATAAGTTATAACCGATATACTTATGTATGTAGGCATGATTATTTGTTAGCATTTCTAAAATTTTGAGTTTAATGAATTTATAAAATTTTAGATTGATAAAAATATAAAAAAAAAATAAATAAAAATATGTGATAATTTAAAATTCAAGCGACACCTATATAGCTTCTATCTATCAAATGAATATATCAATTCGAGTGATCTTCCTCTTCTTACAATTCCCTTTCCTGAAGTAATTCAAGATAGCAGGTTCAAAATCTTTTAACTAAAGACCCAAATTAAAATTTTAATAATATAATATAATTAAATTTTTTATTTAAAATTAAAATTGATTTTTATAATTAAATATTTTATAATCTAATTATAACTTCGTTAAAATATTAACATAGATCAAATTGTATTTCCTTTTCGGTGTTTAAGGAAAACAGGGAACAGAAAGAAATGGATATTTGTAATTGCAAAGAAGTAAATTCCAAAATTATAGATATACATTTACAGCATAGGAGTAGAGCATGATCTAGACAATCAACAAAACAGCTAAACCAATTGATTCAGATCAATCAGATTGAGAAAGATACATACAATATCAGCATCAGACCTTTCCTCTTTCCTTTCCACAATGCCTTCAGAATGGAGGGACAATGCCACATCCAGTTTCCGTCATCGGTGTTGTGAAGAACATCTGTTCCACTTCAACTCCCGAATCCGTTCTCTTTGCGAACCGACCCTTAATTCGAGGTCTTGTTTCTGCGTATGCTTTCCTTGAAGCATACCTTATTGTCTTCTCAAACTTTCTTGTCTTCTTCTTCTCTCGATATCTAAGGACCCTGGCCTCCCTGTCCATTGGTGTAAGTTGAGATGGCATCTGAATGGGAGGTCCAGAGAAGAGGTCAATTGTACCTTTAGAAGGCCACACGTGCGACGTTGGAATGTCACTAATATTTGATTCCGGTACAACCCCACCATCGACCGAAGAAACTGATACCTGGAATGGTTCATGGAAAGTCAGAAACGTCATTAAAGTAAACAAAAGGGAAAAGTGTCTATCTACATTCCATTTGGCTATGCACTTTTATGGAATAAAGGTAAAGTAACAAAGAATGAATGAAGTTCAGTGGAAAAAATTGAATATTCCCCTTTGATTTTAATTGCCGAAAATAGGATATGTAATTAGCCTAGTCTACAAAAGCATGTACAAACTTTGCAGAGAATGTTGCCATGTTAATTGCTCAAAAGTAAGTTAACTATTGTAATTACCTGCGGAATTAAGAGCTAAAACTCAGATTCAAGATTTTGCAAGACCATTGAGAATTGCATGTTTAAAAAAATTATGTTCTTTAGATTGGAGCACTTTCTAGCCAGTTGTTTGTTGCCAAGACAACTTACGCTGTGACTGATGGAACCATTGTAGCTGTATGCAGCTTTAGAGTAATCATAATCCAGGCCGATCTGAAAATTCTGATGTTGCTTCTGCTGCAAGTAATTTTCGGTACCTGTAGATAGAATTGGCACCACACTGACACCCCCATAACTCTTGTGTGGAACACCATAACGTTGTTGAAGCTGGTTATATTGATCAGTGAATTGATTCTCAACGTTTGAATTGTATTCCACGACGTCCAGATACTCATCAACCTCGCCATCGAATAAGATCCCGGTATTCTGGTTGGTACTGCTTTTCCCAGGATTCAGCAATAACCATGAAGCCGCCTCGTCCTCATCTTCCTCGACAATTGTCTCGTCTAACTCCGTTACTATAAAACCATCTTCGGTTTCAGCTGCCGCTACCATTTTTTGGCCGCCTGGATCAGCGGCAGAGGGGCCATATAGGCACCCTGAAATTGGAAGGATTGGGACACGCTGGTGGCGACGTGCGAGCGGATTGGCGGAGTGGATATCGGCATCACATGTGGTGCACAAGGATGCAGCATCTGCCTTGCACAAAAAGGCAGCAGGTGCGCGCTCACATGCCTGGCACACCCACAGACGTTCATGGCGCGAGGCTACCCGGTTTGCAGCATGCACACGGGCATCACATCCGGCACAGAGGTAGGCCGACTCTTCTCGGTAGTACACCGTGCAAGCCGTGGAGTGGCACGTGTCGCAGACACGAGCCCAATTGTTGCCTCCATCATTACCACCATCACAACTCTCCTCTTTCAACATCTCTCACACAGCACAAGCTCTCTACACTCGACTAACTCTGAGTGTGAACAGAGTGTGAACAGAGTGTGACAAGAAGTAGGGAAACACAAGTGGGAGGAGAGAATCCAGGGACTGACACATGGCAACAATTTAGTGGGTGCGAAAAAGTTCTTACTTCTTACATAATCTGCTTGTGGTTAGCTTAGTTTTGGGGTCGAGCAGGGGGGCCCAAAGCTTCTACTTAATTTGGCTTTTGGTACTTCAAGTAGATGAAAATGAAGATTGTACTCGCCATTGAGGTATGACACTCGGGCATCAAAGCATGCCTTGTTGGTCCAATGAAAATCGCTGATATTCTATTTAGACATGTCTCCTTCGGACATGTGAGCACCACATGGGATGAAAGGCCTTAATTTAGGGGTCATGGTTTCGACCAAAACTTGTCATAACAGTTTTGAACTTAGTTTGGAACAAGTTTGTTTCTTTGTGCAGGCAAGCAAACAAGAACTGTAATTATGGAGTGAGTTCAAAGTGTTGAGCATTTTTTGGTAAGATTTGTACATTATTTTTTTTCTTTGGTTTCCCTCTAGTTCCAAGGTTTTATCCTGATTAATTTGGATTGACTTGATCCCCATACTTGGTTTTAGTGGGTGACTCTCTCAGATTTTCTGCATACACAAAAACTCAAACCCAAGTCCTTGCTTAAAGACTATCAAATTATTTATCACTTGAACCAACCGTTGGTAGATTTGTACATTATTAATGATTGTTGTTTTTTCGCATGCATGCAACATTCACACTTTAGCTCAAAAAAGAAAACCCTTATTCCCTGCCTCCTCATTTATCTAGGAAAAATGAAGCGTAAATTGTGTTCTTTAATTAAAAAAAACGAAGTTATCAATTCTTTTTCATATATTTTATATTTATTTTATGATTTTATATATATAATTTGTTATCAACTTATCTAATTAAAATTCTGAATTTGAATTCTGTCATTAGCTTTCAGGGATATAATCAGCAGCTTTCACCTGATGCTGACTAAGGCTTAGTTTGTTTTCACTGTACAACCTCTTCAAACCTCTTATGTCTACGCCGCGCAGACTACGCACAGACATTAGGTTTCGCAGACCGTTTGTTTTTTAGAAGACATAATCTCTTCTAACGTCTGCGTGAGCTCTTCTTGGTGCAGACATGATTTTATGTCTTCAAATGTCTTCAAACCTCTTCAAGAACAATTATAAAATATGATTATTTATTAAAATAATTTTAAATAATTTAATAAGGTTATTTATTTTAAAATAATTTATTATAAAATAATTTATTTTAAAATAATTTATTATAAAATAATTTATTTTAAAATAAATTATTATAAAATATGGATTGATTTATTTTAAAATAATTTATTTTTAATAATTTATTAGTATGTATTGATTTATTTTAAAATATAGATTGATTTATTTTAAATAATTTATTAATATGTATTGATTTATTTTAAAATATGGATTGATTTATTTTAAATAATTTATTAGTATGGATTGATTTATTTTAAAATATGGATTGATTTATTATTGTAGTTGTATGTATTGATTTCTTTTAAATACTTTATTAGTATGGATTGATTTATTTTAAAATATGGATTGATTTATTTTAAATAATTTATTAGTATGAATTGATTTATTTTAAAATATGGATTGATTTATTATTGTAGTTGTATGTATTGATTTCTTTTAAATACTTTATTAGTATGTATTGATTTATTTTAAATAATTTATTAGTATGGATTAATTTATTTTAAAATATGGATTGATTTATTATTATAGTTGTATGAATTGATTTATTTTAAATAATTTATTAGTATGGATTGATTTATTTTAAAATATTGATTGATTTATTTTAAAATATTGATTAGTATGGATTGATTTATTTTAAAATATGGATTGATTTATTATTGTAGTTGTATGGATTGATTTATTTTAAATAATTTATTAGTATGGATTGATTTATTTTAAAATATAGATTGATTTATTTTAAATAATTTATTAGTATGGATTGATTTATTTTAAAATATGGATTGATTTATTTTAAAATATGGATTGATTTATTTTAAAATATGAATTTATTTATTTTAAATAATTTATTAGTATGAATTGATTTATTTTAAATAATTTATTAGTATGGATTGATTTATTTTAAGATATGTATTGATTTATTATTGTATTTGTATAAATTAATTTATTTTAAATAATTTATTAGTATGGATTGATTTAGTTTAAATAATTTATTAGTATGGATTGATTTATTTTAAATAATTTATTAGTATGAATTGATTTATTTTAAATAATTTATTAGTATGGATTGATTTATTTTAAAATATTGATTGATTTATTTTAAATAATTTATTATTGTAGTTGTATGGATTATTTAAATTTCAGTATTGTAAAATTAAAATTATTTAAATCTCAGTATTGCAAAATTATTTTAAGTTTAAAAAATCATTTTATTTATATTTCAGTTCATTTTAGCAGTCTACAGACGTTAAAAATAAACAGTATTATTCTTGCATATTGTAGACTTTAGGTCCACCTCTTCTGCTGCAGATACCTGTAGATGTGATCCGCAGACTGCAGACCTTTTATCTTTGTAAAAATAAACACCACCTAAGAAAAGTCTAGGAAAAAAAAAAGCCTATTCACCAGTAGAAGACAACTACGTTGCTAAATTTGGTTGACGCTGAACCTCAGATTTAGATGACAGGGACAATAATAAGACTGACATTTCAATATGCATAATGGCCTCCTGCTAATGCTCGAGTCCAGCCCAAACCCGTTAAATTTGAAGAAAAAAACCTTTTTCCCTCCTCATTACTAAGGATTTGCTCTCATTAATTAAAATCGACATCAGTCGCACATTTAATTTTGATGAGTGAATTTTATATTAAAGAATTTTTGCATATATAAAAATTTAAACTTGAAACTTACTTAAGTTATATTAAATTGCTTGCCACTTAAATTAACTTGCTGCTAAATTTGCCTCGATTTAATGCATAATTAACTTTTTTATCTCCAAAATCACTCATTTTTCTAACATTAGCCATTCTACCTTTAACTTAAATCACTAATGAAACTGAATACATCTCTTATAAAAAAATTATAATACCTAAAACATTTTATGATGTTTGAATATTTGTAGGGGCAAAATTTTAACTTTCTTAGTTGAATTACATATTTTAAATATTTTATTCAATTATTTGATTGTAGTATCAATTATTTAATATATTTTCTTTCATGCATAAATACATATACGTAGAATTAATTTGTGTATATATATATATATATATATATATATATATAATTAGATATGTAGATTTTGAGCATAAAAAGGGATTCCTCATAAATTTGATGAATTAGGGAAGTTTTACGCACCCTAAAAGCATTAAAGGAATGGTTGAACTTAGTAGACAATTTCAAAGCAGTACACGCAGTTTCTGTCACACTAAAGTAGGGATTAAGATTTTTCAAATTCTTATTTCGACATTAATTCTGATTTTCGGCTAATTCGAGGACTAAAATGAAATTTCTATTAGTTGAGGACCCATATATGGAAATCCCAAAAGATCAATGTCCAATAGCATGATTTGTCCATTTTCCTTAAATGGGAATTTAAATCCCAAAAAGCTAGGCCAACTCCATTTGGAAACCCCATTTTTTCTTTTTTTCTCTTTCCTCTTCCTTTCCTCTTTTAGCTCTCTTCTCCAAGTAATCTTTAAACTCCATTTTGTCGCCGATTGTAGCCCCATTTTCGACACCGTCGACGCCATGATGTTCCTGACGTTGAGACGAGTCGACTGGTGCTTTTAGTTTCGTCAGCGTCGACGTGTGAAGGGGTGAGCATAAGGAAGTTTCAACCTATTGTGAAATCAATTCTTCGTCGCAAAACGAAACCGGCAAGTGACTCCCGAGCCTTCAAATTTCAATTATGCAAAATTTGGTGAAATTCCGACGGTCGCCACCACCGCACGCGCCCCACGCGCCGCCTCCTGCTCGTGGGCTTCATTTGCCTCCTCGGGGGTCTATTAAACCGGCTGGACCGGTCCGAGCCTATTGGTCAAGTTGACCCGAGCCGAGCCGAGTCGAGCCATCGAGCTGAGTTGCGAACCGAGCCAAGCTAACCGTTCACCGGGCGTTAACTTTTTTCGAGACCACTTATCCTAGGGTTTTCAACGTCCTGAGTCTGATTTTGCAGTCTGTTTTGTCAAATTCGAACCCAATAAGTTATTTTTCGATATTTTATTTTCCCATTCGATCAGATTTTCTCCATTTCTAATAGAATTCTTTTTGTATTGTGTATGAGTTATTATGGGAATTCAAATATAAGTTTAAGAGGGATTGAGTGGTATTAAATGACCAACCGATATAACTAAAAAATTAAGGTAATAATTTACTACCATTTTTCATGCTTTACAGCACATGTTGGTAATAGGTTAGTGCTTGAATAAATGAGTTGGATAGGTATTATGGTTGGTTATTATGAACTTACTCTGATTTCGGTATACAATTAGGAATTAAGACTCGAATAACATGTATAAAGAATTAGGGGATCCTGGATCAGTATAGATTTTTAAGTTGAGTAAAATTAATCTTTGAGCCATAAATTCTGATTTTTCCTGTTATAAGTCTTTATACCATTAATATTCATATAGGAATTAATGAAAATACATGTAAGGGTTAAAAAGGACATGGATTGTCTCTATTGGTGGAATTAACCTCATAATTAAGATTTGATTTGATAGGACCTACAGATTTACCCATTAAACTCCTGATCTATATGGGAAATTTCTAATAGACAGTTTTTTAACCTCTGAGAAGACATGTTTTAAAATTTTTGATTTTTGAGCAACTCCTTAAGACTATTTTTCCAAAAACAATCTACATGACGGAATTTATTAAAAATGACCAAAATACCCCAAACATCAAAATAACTTAAATACCCTCAAGTTTTGAAATGATCTAAATACCCTCATGACTTGGATTAAATGAATGACTTTGGATAAGTTATGAAAATTTCGATAAAGCTTAAAATTCTGTA